TTCAGCAGAGCTCTGTCCAGCTTCAGCTGCTTGAAGGTGTCCAGGTACATCACGTTGACGGAGCTCCCCGTATCGATGTAGGTACGGTGGATGATGGAGTCACCGATCTCACACCGGATGACGAGGGCGTCCCTGTGTGATTCCGTACCCGGAGGCCGATCCCTGTCGGTGAAGGTGATCGCCTCCGTTCGCTGCTTCTTCGGCTGGGGGGGGGGGGGGGACGTGGGACACCTCCCCAATGTAAAGGGATTGGGCCCATTTCTTTCTCTGAGTGGCGGAGTCCCCCCCAGTGTTCCCACCTACGATGAGGTGGATGTGATTCTTCTTCGGCGGAGGCTCTTCGAAGTCCTCGTCGTCGCTGAGCCTACCAATCTCCCGCTTCTTCGTAGAGGGTTCGCCCCCATGTTTGCCGGTGTTTACCCATGTGTTTTTGCGTGGGCCACCTTTAACAAACTGGGAGAGTTCCCCCTGGCGAATAAGGCGCTCGATGGCTTTCTTCAGTGTGATGCAATCGTCGGTGTTGTGCGACGAGTTCTTGTGGAACCGGCAGTATGTGCCACCCTGCTGGATGGCAAGGATCTCCTCGGCCGGCCGAGGAGCCTGCTCGATGAGGCCGTGCTTTTCGGCATAATCGAGGATGGTGCCGACCGGGTGAGTGAGGGAGACCCCCGGCCGTTCCAACCTTGGCCGCCAGTGGCGATCTTTCTTACTCTGTCCACCAGAGCCGTGACGGCCCTGGGCACCCTGGCCGGCCGGGGCCGGGCCCGGGGCCGGCGAAGGATTTGTCTTCTTGGAGGGATGGCCCCCCTCCTTCTTGTGATTATGGAGCTCGTTGGCATCGGCGTACAAGCCTCCGCACTGGAGCACTTTGGCGTACGACCTCGGAGGGTCGGTGATGAGGCTCCTAGCGTACGGGGAGCTGCGGAGGGCTCCCTGGTACAAGGCGAGGAGGGTGCGCTCATCGGCCCCCTCGACCTCCTCGCTCTCCCTCGTCCACCGATCGATGAATGACCGGAGGGACTCCTCGTGCTGCTGCTTGACGGAGAGGAGGTGGGTGAAATACTTCTTCGCGCGCTTCCTCCCGACAAAGTGAGTGAGGAAGCGCTGGGCGAGATCCTGCCATGAGTCGATGCTCCCTTCGGGGAGCGCGTTGAACCACTCGTACGCTGGCCCCTCGAGAGTAGAGAGGAACCAACGGCAGAGGTATTCGTCGGACGCGTTCACCATCAGCATGTTGTTCTGGTAACGGCTGAAGTGTTCCTGGGGGTCTGATCGGCCGTCGTAGGACTTGATGGCGTTCCCCCTGTACTTCTCCGGGATGGGGGCCGAGAGGACCCTGTTGGTGAAAGGGGTCCTGGTCCTGACCTGGATGATGGGGTCACCTCGCCCCTCGGCCAGCTCCCTCTCCAGGGCGCTAACCTTGTTCATGAGCGCGTTGAGGCCGGGGTCGTTGGAGGCGCCGGCCGTAGGGATGTTGGCCGACTGCTTGGCCTCCATCTGAGCCAGCCTCCTTTCCAGCTGGGCGATGACCTCGTCCCGGGGGTCCCTGGCGGCCGCAGCGGCGCCCGGCTGGTTCCTCATGCGCTCGTTGTGAGCCGCGTTGATCTGGTGACGCACGTCATCCTCGTGCAACTTTCCCTTGCCCTTGTCCGGGCGGGGCTGGTCCGCTGTCCGGGACACAGACCCCAAGCTTTCCCTCGGCGAGCCAGGACGAGGATCACCAATCCGTCCCGCCATCCTCTCCGAAACCGGACGACGACGCGTGTCACCTAGCCTATTGAAGGCAGAGGCTTTTCCACGCGCTGGGGTCTGCCCAGGCCGAAGAGGGGAAGCAGGGTGGGAGTGGGACGACGCCGTGTCCTGGGGCACCACCCCCTCATCGTTGCCTATCTGGACGGCCAACGGTTGGGGTTGAGGAGGTTGAGTGACGTTCCCCCCGGTTCTTGGCAAGAGTGCGCTGAGGACGGTGGGTTCTGAGCCAGGCTGGCGATGATGACCGACAGCGCGGCCTGGACCTGCGGATCCACGGACGGAGAGGCCGCGGCCATAGGCTGGGCCGGGGCGTGGTCCGTCTTCTCAGCTCGTTTCTTGTCCAGGCCGAGGCGGGCATCAGGGGCTCCGCCGTTGAGTTGGTTGTGGAGGTCCGTCGTGAGGTTGAAGGCCTCCTGGAAGAGGTCCCCTCCGCCGACCTGGTCGGCCGTGGCGTCCTCATCGTGCTCCCTGGGCTCTTGGTCCTCAGGGATGGCTTTGCTGACGAGGTTGCGGTTTGACTTAGTTCTCCCCATGATCAGTGGTTAGCTGTGCTTGGTAGCGACGAAGGGTGCTAACTTGATTGTTCTAGCTCTCAACGAGAGCACCAAATGATAGAGTATATCTAGAGAGAAGTGAGAGCTAGAGAGAGAAGTGCAATAATATGCTTCAATAGAATGAATTTGTAACCCCTATAACTACTCCCAAGGGGAGTATTTATAGAGAAAATACGGGCTGGGCTCCCAAGCCTTGGGCTTGGGAGGCCCATTTACAACTGGACCGCTACTGGGCCGGATACAAAGCCACTAATGGGCTGTACAAATGAGTAAGTGTAAAATCCGGTTCTGGGAGGTCTTCGTGGCCGACGAGGGCGTGGCCGACGAGGGCGCGGCCGACGAGGGCACCCGGGTTCCTTGGGCTCAGGACCATAATCCGAGTTGGCCGCTTATCGGCCGACGAGGGCGTCATGGCCGACGAGGGCGCCACTCTGTGTCTTGTGCTTTCTGTTCTTCCGAGTATGTGGGTCCGGGGGCTCAGACCCATATACTCAATCACGCATTTATATGATTTTTTAAGTATATGGACTTAATTAATGAATTGTAAATACTAGAAGGGTCAATACAAACTTTTTCCTTAAATGTAGTATTGCAATAACATGTACTACAGTACTAGAACAACTTATTTAAGAGTATTTTAATATAATAAACTAAGATGTTTTTTATTTAGAATGTTTTTAATTGAACTTAATTTTCTGCTCTAGTCGGGTCTGTTTAAGTCTAATTTGGTCCGAACTGATCTAGTTCGATAAATGTTTTGTTTATGTGTATTTTATAACTATCGAAGTCTGATCTGGTTTGTTTAACTCTGGTCTGATATGATTTGGTTTCTTTAGTATGATCTAGCCTCATTTGATTTGAGATTGAAATTATTCCAAGTCAATAAAATTTTAAATGAAAATCCAAACAAAAATTTATTCGACTGCCAAGGTAGTAGTAATTACTTACAAATTATGTTAACCGTATTTCTATTTTTCAAAATAAGTTACAAGTTCTCATCTGGATTTATGTGAGTTCTATTGCGCCAAACTGATAAATTGAAGAAGTAAGTTCCAGAATATAGAAGTTTAAAGTGAACCTCTCATCAATTGATTCAATTCACCCCTTGCTATTTGGTTTAAGAGCTTGTTTGGTGGAGATAAGGGTGTGGTGATGTATTTTTGAATTAAATTCATACAAATTAAAAACTATGAAATACTCGCTTCGTCCTCTTAGGATTTGACACGAGTTTTAAGAGGAAAATAATATGAGTAGCATAAAAGATGTAGTGGGTTGTGGGTAAATGAAAAAGTAGGAAAGAGAAATGGTAATAATAATAAAAGTGAGGTATAAAGGTATTTTGATTGAAACAACTTACCAAAAAGGGAAAGAAAGACATATAATTAAAAACGTCCCAAAAAGAATTACGAGACAGTTAATAAAGAACGGATGGAGTAGTGTTGGATTCGGTTCGAGCCACCCGGCCCGTTACCCGGCCCGGCCCGGCCCGGTACTGTGCGGGCCCGGGACCGGCCCGGTCGGGCGGTCCGGGACCGGATGTGGACCCGAACCGGTGGGAATGGGCGGGGCGGGCATGGTTCCGGATAAATGTGACCCGGCCCGGCCGGGTCGGGCCCGGGTCCGGGCAACGGTCTGATTTTAATTTTTTTTTAATTGGTACTAGGCTACTAGCCGTTGGGGGTGGGCTGGGGACAACCCAAACGGCTATATAGCCGTTGGGTGGGGTGCAGGGGGGGTCCGGGGGGTTGGGTGGTGGGGGGGATGGGGGGATGGGGGGGGGGGGGGGGGTAAAAACTTATAAATACTCCTAATCTTAAACATTTTTTCATCTCTTCTCCAATTCTTCCTAAATCCTATTCTTAACTCTCTACTCTCTAATTCTCTTATTCTCCAATATATTATATTTTTTATTTATATATCTACTTTATAGTTTATACTTAAGAAGTTAAGATGGAAAATCAAGATGCCATTATACGGTATAATTTTGATAAGCAGAAGGACCCGAAGACCGGGATGTGGTACGCAATTTGCAAATGGTGCGAGAAAAAATGTAGCATGGGGGTTTCAAGCGGATACGGGATGACAATCAAGCATATGAAGTCATGTGACAAAGCCAAAGGATCGGGAGGTGCGGGAAGTTCCGATTGATTACAATTTTCAAAATGTTTGTCTCTTAAAGTTTGTTTTAATTTTCAAATGTAGTTCCTATTTCATTTCAAATAAATGCACTTGAAGTTTGTTTTTAATACTCCTATAAAACTATAAAGTATAAACTATAAAATATAAATTATAAAGTATTAACCGGCCCGGTCCGAACCGGACCCGACCCGTGACCCGGGCGGGTGGCCCGACCCGAACCGGACCCGTCCAACCCTCGGGCCGGTCCCGGGCCCATGTCATACAAACCGGCGGCCCGACCGGGCCTAGGCCCGGCCCGAGTCCATCAATAGGATGGAGTACATGATTAGTTTTTCTTGGAGTAAAAAATACATAATCTAGTTAATGTAAAGTTTTTTCTAATCTAAAAACTGACATATATGAAGATCAATTAGTAAAACAAAAATCAATCTCCTCCATCTCTTTTCCTCGTAAAAATCATCGGACGAAGTAATTTGGGATGAAACTATGTCACCTACTCGCCTGAACTACTCCATTAACTAACAATAAACTCAATTTAACTATATACGATTGTTGGTCCAAAATAGGACGCTCGTAAGCGTTTAGGAAAGCTATGTACAACACTCAAACAGAAAATCAAGAAAACAATGCGAAAATGGAAAGTGCTAGAGAGGTTTTAGTTGCCAAGAATAGAATATGAAATCGCCTCCCCTAACTAGAATTACAACCCACCTTTTATAAGCGTATACAAATTGTAACCGCTACCAATAATAATGACTAATTAATTACAACATTAAAACGGAATTAAATACATAATTAAACAGCGCATTAATTGCTTGACCGTTACTCTTCTGGGCTGGGAGGTCACCCGGACTGACAGGCTCCCCGTTGGTCTGGTAGGTAGGCTCCAGGTTGTGAACTTGGATACACGGGTCCAAGTTCGGGGCCTGGGCCAATTAGGCTCTGGGCCTAGTCCCATAAATCCATCAATGATATATACGAGGTAATTTACATAATTACATATCGAAGGTCTTACATAGCCATTAACATTAAACATCAAGGAGTAATGAACTGAAGAACGAGAAAACAATTTTATTACTACGACACAAAAGGCCTTGCAATTACTGAAACACATCTTCAGATTCAGTCATGAGAGATGATCAGATGACAATGAAGCATTTGGCTATCAATTCCCATATTGCTTATTCCTGGAAAAATAATCCAAAATGAGGCAGCTACATCATAAATAATACCCATAAGAAAGTTTTATTACATCATGCCACACAAGAACATAAAAACAATCACATATTCCAATATGGATACTATATTTTGCACCAAGGAAGTATAAACAGTTCAAAGGATTAGCTGAAACAATTACCACCTACATTGCTGCTAGCAAATCTCACTTTTCAACTGCCTGTTTCAGTTCAAGTTACCTACACATGATGAAGATAGTGTCAACAAAATTCAAAAATTGATCATTTAACAGATAAAAGGAATCAGATGGAGTGTCAAAGAAGAGGCTTCACTACCAGGGTCATCGCCTTTTACCGTTTCTGAAGAAGTACTTACACAACCATCCTGCAGAAAATAATGTGCTCATCATGAATCTGTCCATCTTTAAAATTGAGGTAAGGTTGAAAGAACAGTGACACCTAAGGCCTGTCTTGTAAGGGTTGTTCGGCTGAAATGGATGGATCAGTTGAACTATTTAAAAGGAAAATGTTTGGTAACATCCATTTCAGCCACATAGGTAAAAATCTACTTGCGCTGAACAGAATAAGCCATATGAGGCTACCAAACAGGGCTTTAAAGTGGAAGGCACATCTATCTTACCCGATCAGGAACAGAATCAGATACAAGTTTAACGTATTGCTCCATAGCCACCTCTGAGCTCATGTTTCCCAGTCTTCGCCAAGCATTCCTTGCACAATGGAATTACTATCCTCCATCATTCACAAACATAGCAGCTTTTGCTCCTGTTATTTATAACTAGCAATCAAACTATACCCTAAAGGTAGGTCTATGGTCACCCCAACAATGCAGTTGCATTTACTTTGCGTCCCTAATCCTCTCAGAGTGTTCCTATTATATCTAACATATTCAAAACTCACATGTTGTGGGGTTCTTTCCCTGTTATAAATTTATAATCAGCAATGCATTCACACACGAAGCATACTTTGATGTGGGAGCTTATGCACGACTGACTCAGTAGCAACACAAGATTCAATGAAAGTTGTGCATTCTTGAGGTTCAGCAGCATTCATTTATTACAACTGATAACAAGGCCCCCCTTTTTAAATAATCTCCATTAAGGTAGATACTTAACAATAAGTAAATTATATCAGAATCTGATCCAACTCTTACGTGATGATTTTTAAATATCAATCTTCTAATGAGACCTAATTATAGCAACTTCTTTAACCCATTGGTGTCTCATTCGGAGTATATTTTTCCATAGCAAGGGAAAACTATGAGATGACGATTTTAGATTCACCTTATTATTCCTTCGTTAGAAGGTTGCAGCAGGAATGATAGTAACCAGTAGCAATCCACAATATACAACACAAGCTTACAACAATCCACAAACTTCATTAATGGCGGTAAACAGTAGAACAGTCCCAAAGCTAGAGATAAGACTCTAACTTCCAGTCCCAAGCCAAGCATCTAACAGACTACCCGCCTGCCAACAACTAAACTACTTCTTCTTTCTAGAATAGACTAAACCATATCTATTCTTATTATTTGTAATAGCCGGGGTCCTATCAATACTCCCCCCCAAAAAAACAAGCTTGTCCTCAAGCTTGAAGTCTGGAAATTGTATCTTCAACACTTGAGCATCTTCCCAAGACCTTTCAAATTCTGGCAGATCTTCCCAATGTATCAAAACTTCAACTCTGCCATTTGTTCCTGGTATCCACCACCTTCTCTGGTTTCACCAACAATTCCCAGTTTTCACTCAAGCATTTAGGCAATGGTTGACAGCTAGTGTTGGAAGATAGAGCCCTTTTTAATAAAGAAATATGGAATACTGGATGGATCAGGCAATCATCTGGCAACTTCAGTTTAAAAGCTACATCATTCACCTTCTCAATGACCTCAAAAGGTCCATAAAACCTTGGACTCAATTTCTGATTGATCCTCTTAGCCAAACTCTGCAACTTATAAGGCTGAATCTTCAGGAAAACTTTCTCACCCACCTCCAATTTCATTTCCCTCCTGTGTTTGTCTGCTTGCTGCTTCATCTTGTTCTGGGCAATAGCTAGATTTTCTTTGAGTTCAGCTAACATTCCATTCCTCTCAGCTGTCAGTCTTGCCACTTCCTCATTAGCAGTCCCAACCACATCCCCTTTTATAATTGGTTGAGGTTCTTGCCCATATAAGGCCTGGTAAGGTGTTTGTTTTAAGGAAATATGGTAGTTAGTATTGTACCGATACTCTGCCCAAGGTAACCACTTGTTCCATTCCTTAGGTTTCTTCCCTGTGATACATCTCAAATATGTTTCTAAACACCTATTCACAACCTCCGTTTGGCCATCTGATTGAGGGTGGTAAGCAGTACTGTATCTCAACTGTGTGCCAGCCAGTTTGAATAACTCAGACCAAAAAGAACTCAAGAAAATGCTATCTCTATCACTCACTATGGATTTTGGAAACCCATGGAGTCTCACTATTTCTTTGATAAAGATTTCAGCAACTCCTTTAGCATTAAATGGATGGGACAAAGCTATAAAATGTGCAAATTTGGTTAGTCTGTCAACCACAACCAGTATAGTGTCTTTCCCCTGAGCTTTTGGCAACCCACCAATGAAATCCATGCTTATATCTGTCCAAATGCAATCTGGAATAGGTAGAGGTTGTAACAACCCTGCAGGTTTCAAAGCTTGATACTTGTTTCTTTGACAAACATCACAATTCTGCACATATAACTGAATCTGTTTCCTCATACCCACCCAATAGAACAATGTTGAAATCCTCTTCATAGTTCTGAAATTTCCAGAATGTCCTCCTGTTGCAGAATCATGATATTCCCTAAGAATCCTTGTCACTCTAGGAGAATTTTGGGGTACCATCAGCCTTCCCTTGTAGTATAACAACCCTTTCTTCATTCTGAAGTCCACCATTTGATCCGGATGACTTAAAATCTTCTGAATAATATCAACACATTTTGGATCTTCCTGCAGTTCATCTTCTAACCCTTCCCATTCCTGACAATTCACAATTGATAAGGCTGACAAATTAGGTTTCCTTGACAAAGCATCTGCAACTTTATTCTCACATCCAGGTTTATATTTAATGATAAAATTGTATCCCATAAGCTTAGCAATCCACTTTTGTTGATCCTCTCCCATGATTCTTTGCTCAGTCAAGTATTTGAGACTTCTTTGATCAGTGTGAACCTCAAATTTCCTACCCAATAAGTAGGGCCTCCATTTCTGAATTGCAAACACAATTGCCATCAACTCCTTTTCATAAACAGATTTACTCAAATGCTTAGGTGCCAGTTCCTTGCTTAAAAATGCAATGGGACCCCCATCTTGCATAAGTACTGCCCCTAGCCCCCTCCCAGATGCATCAGTTTCTAGTACAAAAACTTTATTGAAATCAGGGATTCTCAACACTGGTAAAGAAGACATAGCATTCTTCAATTCTACAAAAGCTTTTGTAGCCATATCACTCCATTTAAACCCATCCTTCTTCAACAATTGTGTTAATGGAGCAGCAATGTGACTATAGCCCTTGACAAACCTTCTGTAGTATCCAGTAAGACCCAGGAAACCCCTCAACTCCTTCAAATCTTTTGGTACACCCCATTCTACCATGGCTTTAGTTTTAATAGGATCAGCTGTCACCCCTTCTGCAGAAATAATATGACCCAAATAACTCAGTTGCTCCTGACCAAAGGAACACTTCTTTTGATTGGCTACTAAATCATTCTTCTTTAAAACCTCCAGAACTAATTTGAGGTGTTCTTTATGATCCTCCTTAGTTTTGCTGTAAACCAGTATATCATCAAAGAATACCAATGCAAATTTCCTGAGGAAAGGTCTCAAAACCTCATTCATTAGAGCCTGAAAAGTGGAAGGAGCATTAGTCAACCCAAATGCATGACTAGATACTCATAATGACCTTCATGAGTTCTGAAAGCAGTCTTACAGGTGTCACTCTCCTTCATTCTGATTTGGTGGTAACCTGACTTCAGATCTAGCTTAGAAAAAACCACTGCACCCCCCAATTCATCTAGCAACTCTTCTATAACTGGTATGGGAAACTTGTCAGGTATAGTGATCTTATTCAAGGCTCTATAATCACCACAAAATCGCCAACCACCATCTTTTTTTCTAGCCAATAAGATAGGACTGCTGTAGGGACTGTTACTGTGCTTAATGATACCTGTTTTTAACATTTCACCAATTACCTTCTCTATCTCATTTTTCTGATCAAATGTGTACTTGTAGGGCCTCAGATTTGGTATGCTAGCTCCTTCTTGGATGTTTATGGCATGATCACAGTTTCTAGCAGGAGGAAACTTCAACTGATCATTAAACACCTCTGGAAATTTAGCAATGATGTCCTCCCAAACCTTGGTTTCTTTAGTATTCTGTTCCAAACCATACAATTGCCCTCCATAATACAGACAGTATCCCTCTCCTTCTGTCTGCAGAATCTGAAGCATAGTCTTCATTGGAACCTCCCAATTATTCAATGCAGCTTCCCCTTGGATACAATTTATCCTATCTTCTTGTTTCCATTTGATCACTTGCTTCTGAAAATTCACTTCCATGTCTCCCAACTCAGTCAACCATGCCATCCCCAAAACAATATCTGTGTCACCCAATTCCAGTATATAGTATGATTGATGTATGTCATTCCCCTGCACTTCCATCTTCATTCCATCACATCTGCCCTTGTTATGGATGAGATCCCCATTACCAGTCTGCACTCTCACTCCTTGTAAAGGCATAAAAGGTACTTCCCATCTGTCAATGAACCCCTGCGCTATGAAGTTGTGTGTTGCCCCACTGTCAATCATAATATTGACAGGTTGTTTCCCATCACCCCAGCTCAACACACCTTGCACCTTGAATGTTTTCATGGATGGAATACCCTCCTTACTTAAAACAGACAGTTGCATTGTTTTAAGTTGTTTGTGAGTATCATCTTCTTCTCCCCCTTCCATTAATTCTCCTTCAGATTCCTCTTCTCCTTCAGACTGCTCCACTAGAATCATTTTATAGTTCTTCATTTTACAGACATGACCCTTGCCCCAGTCCTCTCCACACTTGAAACACAATCCCCTCCTACTTCTTTCATGGAGCTCACTCCTGGATAACCTGGGACCTGATGTACTCGTATTAGGTGCCTTCATGTCACTATGGCTTCTGTAATCTGAGTTACTCTTTGGTAGGTTAGAGTTACTGTTTGCCATACTTTTCCATCTGCTCCCTTCACCCCAATTGGCTTGATAATTTGGGCCATTATTCTTACTTAGCCCCTTTTTCTTCCCTTCCTCTCTGTTCTTCATCAACATTGCTTCATTATTTTTGTTCTCAATAAGAGAAGCTTGGCCCATGAGTTCAGCTAGGGTTCGTGTAGTATACAACTTCAGCTCAGCCCTGATATCTCTCCTCAGTCCCTTAAGAAAAACGCCTTTCAGAACCTCCTCGGTTAAGTGTCCCTGGGACGCTATGGCTGTTTCAAACTTGTCTCTGTACTCCTTCATTGTTCCTCTCTGTTTTAAGCTGAACAACGGTCCTAATGGATCTTGTACCAGCTCTGGTTGAAAACGTGTAGTCAAATCCTTCGTAAATGTCTCCCAATTCAAATTGCGAGTCTGACCTTCCCACCATTGGAACCAACTCAGTGCTTGGTCCTCCATTGCCAGAACTGCCAGGTCAATTTTGTCACGCTCATCAGTCTGATTCAGCCTGAAATATCGATCCATCCTCATTAACCAACCAAAGGCATCCTCTCCGTTGAAAATCGGTAAATCGATTTTCCTTCCAGCTTTATTAGGATTCCGATGTTGATTTTGGCGCTCGCGATCCGGATGCGAACCAGAATGATTGGAATTGGTTTCAGAACCTTCCGAACTGTCATCACGCTTCGTCTGTTTCCTCTGTGATGATTGACGCGAATAGTTCGATTGGTGTGAACGACTTCGCGATCTATCCGAGTTTCTGCTCTGCATCTCCGCTAGATTAGCTTGCATCGTGGCCAACGCGGTAGTGAAATTTGACTGCATCTCTCTCAAATTTCTCTCCATGCTAGCTTGCATCTCCCTCTGGCTCCTTTCAATTTCCGTCAATCTGCTTTCCATCTTTGCGCGCGTCACGGTCATCCAGCGATCAAACACGCTCTGATACCAATGATAGTAACCAGTAGCAATCCACAATATACAACACAAGCTTATAACAATCCACAAACTTCATTAATGGCGGTAAACAGTAGAACAGTCCCAAAGCTAGAGATAAGACTCTAACTTCCCAGTCCCAAGCCAAGCATCTAACAGACTGCCTAACTGCTGACCAGTTTATTCTATTTATAGTCCCCTCCCCTTATTACAAGTAGTTAGTAGTTCATAACAACTACCCGCCTGCCAACAACTAAACTACTTCTTCTTTCTAGAATAGACTAAACCATATCTATTCTTATTATTTGTAATAGCCGGGGTCCTATCAAGGAAGGACATCTAGTGTAAGCTTTGGTGCTATGTTGTTTTCTTAAATGCTTTTACAGTGCTAACCAATTATTAACAATTAATAGGCAATATAAATTTCATACTACATTGCTACCTACAAAGCATATTTGAGACTAAGGATGTTTTTACTTGGACTGCAATTCATCCCAGACCAGACCAGTTCAGACCAGACTTGGATAGTTATAAAAATATAAAGAAACCAGACCAGACTAGACCAGACCAGTTCAATTCAGTTCAGACCAGACCAGACCAGACCAGCAAATTACAGTCCAAGTAAAAACATCCTAAGGTTATGGTGAAAGCTATAATTTGCTTTAAGCTAATTTATTCTTCAAACAGATCAATACAATGAAACCATCATGTGTTTATGTTGAATTGATGGGCTTTTGTATTGAAACTAAATCACTTTGCATGACATTTAAATACATCAATAAAACCAATTCTGGGTAATTAGTTACTCCGTACTCTTTACTCATTGTGACCTAAGGGATTCTTCGGTTGGAGGAAATTGGAGGGAAGAGAATTTTTGGGAAGCACTAATTTTGTTTTATTACTTCTATTTTTATAATTTTATTTGTGAGTCTTAAGTCTCTTGACTAGAAACTGATTGTATATTTATATATGTTCAACCAATCATTCCTGAGAATAAATTTCGGAGTTGTAATAAAATAAATATCGTCCCCATTTTCTCTCCCCTGCTAAATCCCCAAACGAACAACAGCTAAATGTTAAAACTAAATTGTTTGGGATTCATTCATATTATCGTCTATGGAGTAGTTCAGGTTATATACCATTTGGATCGGGCAGAGACTCTGAATACCATTGGCTGAGGCTCAAAACAAGGCCCTTCCATTGCTACTTTCTGAAGGCCATACAGCTGCATCTGCAACTCTATTCCCAGATTTGATAGTGCTTCATCTCCCCCACACTCCACCAAGTTAACTGCCTTGCCGAACACCATCTCCAGCTCACTTCTCTCAATTCCTTCCCAATCTTGATCCTCATCCTCTTCTCTAAATCCACCTCCAGTCCCGACCACCCCGTTTTCTCCTATCATGGTTCTTTCCCCTTCAATATGAACACAAAAAGCATCAACCTTTGAGGCTCGGACCTTCTCTGTAACAGCCCCATCCTCTGAAAATTCAATATTCTTTGATTCCTCTTCTCCTGACCCGCCATCACTCGCATCAAAACATTGCTCAACCTTTTGGGACTTTTTAACAAGCACCTGTCCTGCATCTTGATCGGGCATCTTCACATGATCAACAGTTGATCGTTTTGCCGCAACAACTCGGCTGCTTTTAGCAGTCTTGTTGACATCGCTGGACAAGACATCAGAAAACAGCTTTGCAATTATGCAAGAAAAAAGCAGAGCTAACAACGCTGTCATGTAGTATCCCTTCAAAACCTCCATGATTGTCTAGACTCTAGATTAGCGAGTTATTTAAAATTTAAGAGGCCTTATGTATATGTGCTGAAGACAGATAAGACGATGAACACTGTTGTAACAAATACGTTGTACTGACGTGTACACTTTCTTATACTCCTTCCTCCCGTTTAGAATGTGCCCGTTTTCGTTTTCTGATGTTGCCCGTAAAGTTCTCATTTCCCTAAATGGAAAGTTATACTACATCAAAACATGGTCAAACAATGCAAAACAATGTCAAACAATGTCGAAACAGTGACAAATAGTGTCGAAATAATGTCAAAACAGTAAAATTTACCCCCCGGTAAGTTTATTTCCTTAATATGTGTAGGTCAAACCGGGAATATTCCAACGGGACGGAGGGAGTACATGTCATTACAGTTCCTTCTGTGGTCGTGAGAGTTTTTTTGCATGTGAATTTCAGTCAACAGACAAAAACTGGCTTGTTTTATCTGCGAAAAATTCTACGGACAAAACAAGCCTGAGATTCACAAACAGAAAAAACTCTTTGAAGAAAGGACGCAAATAGTTTTCTTTTTTCAAAAAACTTGATTAACTTTTTGTTCAATTAATCCCATTTTCCATTACAATTTATATCCAATCTCTATTCAGTTCCTCACATTTGCTCGGCTGTTGTCGGCAATCATCGCCGGAAACAGCCTTTATTCATTTATAATTATGAATTTTTTACATTAATAAAATTTAATAGTTTATATAATCTCTGCCCCATTAGACATTTTAAATTTTGTATTGAGTATGAAATGAATAAAAATGTTAAAAGATGAAGCACATATTCGTTATTTTAAAAAAAGTGACAAACTTTTTTAAACAAAAAAAAAAATTAACGAAGTCCATAAAGAGAGGGAGGGCATTTGAGAAAAAATATTTCATCAGTATTTTGAAGAATGTTATATTAGCTTTGACACATAATTTAAGAAGATAAGTAGTAGATGTAATGAATAGTGTAAAAAAGTAGGAGATGAGGTAAACATGTATAAAAAAGAAGATAAAAAAAGTAACTGAATATTTTTAAACAGAAAAACTTTTAAATACATCGAAAAAAGAAAGTATAATAAACTTTAGAATACAATGAGATATAAATAATTAAATATAAGTATTTATACATTTTGCATATAGTTTACGACAAATGTTTAATTTGGAACAATTTCTTAAAAGTTGAACACGACAAATTGATTTACTCTAGAATCCATATTGCTTCATTTTTTAAATTTGACTATCGAGATAAGAAATGCTGGTCCTAGAATCCGTTCTATTCTTTTTTTAAACCCCAAAATTTTATTCCAACATTATTTTTTATGTATGTTATGTTAATTGTTATACATAACAATCAGTCTTCCTTCTTAATAAGAGTGTCAACTTGATTTCACAACAATATTTTCTGAGGAGGATTAATTGACATAGTGTATCTTATACAAGTAATTTTTAAGATTCTTCGTATCAGATTAATGTGGAACAATACAAAATAGACGCAATCAAATTATCCCATACATCACAAAAACTTAAGGAAAATTCTACGGTGCACTCCTAAATTTTGAGTGCACCGGTACACACCTTTTCTTATCCAGCCACATTTTAGTATTGTGCTACTAAATATGATTAACGACTTGTAATGATGATTGAGTTATTAGCCTAAATATGATTGAATTGTTTCTTTAATAGGACTTTTATACCATATTTGTCCTTCCTAATATAAATAAGGTTTAAATATTTTTTAGTCTCTTCAAATATAGTATCCCTGCAAAATTATTTTTTTTTGTTTTTCATTTCTAAAATGTATGTTAGTTTTTCTTTTAGTCTACCTAATGATCGAATTTAATACGTATTTTAAAAATGTGAGTAATTAGTTTTTATTTTTTTAACTATCATATTTTCCTCAAAAAATTTATAGGGATGATTTTTTAAGTGATATACTAAAAACCAAATAATGCATAATACAAGAATGAAAAACATAAAAAAAATATTTTGCAAGGACTTAAATCATATTTAAACCTATAAACAATTGCCCCCTAGTTCCCTATACCGGTGATCCGGATCCGCGGCGACGACATCAGTGTAGGCCAAATCTTTAGCGGTAGAGGCCGGATCTTTAGCGCCGGCGGCCGACGTGGCAAGATCTGGTCAGATGTACAGTGGTGGTTCATTGCAAGATGTGCAATGTCGGTGGTCAGATCGGTGACGCCCAGATCTGACCAGATGTACGAAGACGACGGCCAAATGTGTAGCGCCGACTGCCAGCGGTCAACAGCGATGTTCGGCCGCATTAAGTTTTGTCAAGCTTCAAGAGGTACTTTTGTACTCCTGTCCAACTACAAATAATAATTCCTATTTTGAATACTTTTAAACTTTGCACATACTTTGACAATTAAATATTTATTTATTTCTATTTAAATAAATCTCCTTTGACGATTTTGTTCAGTTTAATCTTTTTTTCTAAGCCGGTGAAGGATCCAAATGCAAAAATGGCAAATTATTATGTTTAGTTAATGAGGATATTAGGTGGCATAAGATTAAGATATAATGGGATGGGTGGTTAAAAAGGATGTGTACCAAAACACACCAAATTAAGGAGTGCACCCTAGAAGCACCCAAAACTTAAATAGATCAAATCGGGTTATGATTAAATAATGGGTGAATTCCCAAATAGGAGTAAAACATAGTCTCAACTACTTTCATTAATAATTAAAGCATAAAACAAATAACATTAATTAATTTATAATAAAATTGTAAAAAAATAAAAACACAAAATATTTAATAAATAAAATATATTCTGTATTAAATAAATTTAATAAAAAAACTTATTAAAATAAAAAATATTAAATAAAAACTACAAATTTAAAAATAAAAAAATGAAAAAAAATATAAAAAAATATGCAGACCTCTACCGCAGCCTCAACAACCTCCCAGCACCACTAGCTCCGACCACCGGAAAAAATGCCAACATATATTAAAAATGCCATCATGATGACAATTTTTGAGAAAATTTGACATTTTCAAAGAGTAAAAATTTCTTCTTTGTGACATTTTCAAAGAAAAATTACAGTTTTTAAATAAAAAGGAATTTTTTTCGCCGATTGGAGGTGGCATTGCTAGGTGGTGGCGAGGCTGCGGGAAAGGCCTACATAATTTTATTTTTTATTTTTTAGTGTATTGTATCTAGTTTTTATTTATTTTTATTTTTTATTTTTTTAATATTTTTTAAATATTTTAAAAAAATAGAATTTTTTATATTTTAATAGGATCAAACAAGTCATATTTTAGAATAAATTAGATTAGGGGTATTAATGGTAGAAAATTAATATTTACTCTTATTGAAGGAAGTTTTAAATTTAACTCCTATTTGTGCAATTATGTTTATGATTACTCTTATATTGGGCAATTTCTCCCTAAATAAATAATAGTTTGTACAAATGACAAAATTATAATTGATTAGATCATAGTTAAAAAAAAATTAAACTAAATCTATACAAGTAAATAAAACTAGATGAGACTCATTAGTCATCAATTGAACAACTAGTGGTTACAAACCTCTACCATCAAATGTTTCTTCACGTAAGTGGAATATTTTCGAAATATTCTAAACAAGGAATCCTGACGGAGCGAGGAATATTCTAATAATATGCTAAAGTTATTAGTAGAATTCTAATAATATTCTAATAATATTTTCTTCACGTAAGTTGATTTGAAAAATATCCTAATACAAGTTATTGGTGTAATTGTTATGTTTAAATTTTGAATTTTGAATACCAATAAATTAATACTCCGTATAGTATCATTTGTTGATTATAATGTAGCATTATTAGTTTATTTTATCCTAAACAACCATCAAATTCACAAATCTATTTTATTCTTATTATTTTATCCTAAACAATTATGCTTTTCAGGATTTTTCTTCAAAATTACACAGTTTCATCATATCCACGCTTTTTATATACTAGTAATAAATTTTATAATTTTTTTCAATTGTTTAACTATATTTATTCTTCTCAATTCATGAATTAGCAAGAACTTAATATAGAATGATACTCCAACTAACCCATGAATTAAGTAGCTAATATATTTATGTTTTTATAGAAGTTGCTAAAATAGATTAAACACTAATAAATAACTAAGATTTATTTAATATAATTTATTTGTTACCTATAAAATTTTGAACGTACTCTTTCTAATAAGTTTGCTCAGTATATCTCTTTTAATTTTCGAACACTTTTGAAAATCGTATTGAGTTACTGTTCATTGTTACCTTCCAACATTTTCTAACTATGTTAGGCTTAGACGCCGAACACCTAGATAACAGAATCAAAACATTTGATCCAAAAGGTGGAATCTCCCATCCCAGAAGCCCCCCATACCCGACCCAACAGGATTTTGGGAGGATGTTAATCACGGTGACTCAGTCGGCCTAATGATGGTAGGCCTTTTTCCCGTGCGCACCAGAGGCCCAGCCTTATTTCAGGTTATGTGACCTCCACACGGCCGTTGCGTCTTTTGAACCTTGGTCACTTGGTTCAAATTTCCCACCACTGAACCAACTGAGCTACCCGTGCGGATAACAGGATCAAAACATGAGACTATTTTGATAAGAAATGAAATATAGACCCCTATCTGAAAACGCGTATAACCACAAATATTTTTTCTATACTTTTCCCTAAAATATTTAAGAGAAATTAAAGTGTGCAATGTGATTCACTTTAAAGGTCCCAATCAATGATAATAAATAACCCCGGGTTGGTTAACTTTTAATTTTGAAGTAAGAATAGAAAACAACTCTTTGAATCGGTACTCTCTCATTCTCGTCAAATTAAATTTGGTAAAGTTTGACTTGCATATTGAATAATAAAGTAAAAATGAGAAATGACTTTAACCACATATTTATTGTTGTCATTGAAAATGACAAAGAATTTTAGAATGATTAAATAATGAAAGTTGGTAAAGTTTTATGGAATGAAGGAAGTATATTTTAAGTTACATTCATATGGAGCAAGTATTTATGATTAATATATATATATATATATATATATATATATATATATATATATATATATATATATATATATATATATATATATATATATATATATATATATATATAGGGAGTGATTCTACTACAAAGAGCTTCTAAGGTGCAAAATGCAAAGGC